CAGGTGTGAGGCTAATGAGACTCCCTCTGGAGATGCATAATAAAACAACAACAGACTGGAATTATATATCAAGAATGGCAAGTGAAATGTTGTTCGTAACAGGAAATTCAGAAGACAACATACACACATATATTCAGGGTATATTCTTACTCTTTATCTTCCATGTAGTAATCAGACAATCATCATGTGGAAAGCAAACAAAATTAACCTCATATACAGGATGAACCTATTAATGATGCAAAACTAACCGATTACTTATGTTAAATTGTACTTGATTAAAATAGTTTATCCCTCCAGTGGAAAAAAAAAATCAACACACACTATCAGTCAGGTCGTAGAGAGGTAATGTATTGGGCTAAAGTGCATCCACAAAAAATGTATTTACTTGATTCCGTTTGTCAACTTTTTTTTTTCTAGTTAACAGTGTGGCCGCCAGACTACTGAATTCTTTAGGTGATCTGTGATGCATTGTTTAGGAAGACTTGTAGAAGATAACTCGGAATAATCTCTAAGGCATTTTTTATATAAGAATTCATTGACAGTTTAAGGAATATGATTTCAACATTATGAATTTTGAGGTGCAGACAGACAGACAGACAGACAGACAGAAGAACAAATATAGACAGACAGAGACAGAGAGAGAGAGAGCGCACAGCCTCAACTTTGGGTTCTGTTTACAAATATGACAACCAAATAGGCTCAAAGCGTCATAATTAGCCCATTTTCCCGGGTAATGTGAGGGTAATTGACTAAACCTTTTTCTCGTTGTTGTCGAGTTGATAGTAAGTGGCCGTAGGTGTAGCTAAAGTGTAATGACAACAGCTAGTTGTAAGTGGAGTATATAACCAGCTAGTGTTGTGGCAAAGGAAGAGTTGTAATGTGTAAGTGTGAGTGTTGTAGTGTGTATGTTTAGTGTAAAGAGCCAGTGTTGTAGTGTGTATGTCTAGTGTAAAGAGCCAGTGTTGTAGTGTGTGTGTCTAGTGTAAAGAGCCAGTGTTGTAGTGTATGTCTAGTGTAAAGAGCCAGTGTAGTAGTGTATGTCGAGTATAAAGAGCCAGTGTTGTAGTGTATGTTTAGTGTAAGAGTCAGTGTTGTAATGTATGTCTGAGTGTAAGAGCCAGTGTTGTAGTGTGTGTCTAGTGTAAAGAGCCAGTGTTGTAGTGTGTGTCGAGTATAAGGAGCCAGTGTTGTAGTGTATGTCTAGTGTAAGAGCCAGTGTTGTAGTGTGTGTGTCTAGTGTAAAAGGCCAGTGGTAGAGTGTGTGTCTAGTGTAAAGAGCCAGTGTTGTAGTGTATGTTTAGTGTAAAAGTCAGTGTTGTGTGTATGTGTCTATGTAAAGAGCCAGTGTTGTAGTGTGTGTCTAGTGTAAGAGCCAGTGTTGTAGTGTGTGTCTAGTGTAAAGAGCCAGTGTTGTAGTGTGTGTCTAGTGTAAGAGCCAGTGTTGTAGTGTGTGTCTAGTGTAAAGAGCCAGTGTTGTAGTGTGTGTCTAGTGTGAAGAGCCAGTGTTGTAGTGTGTGTCTAGTGTAAAGAGCCAGTGTTGTAGTGTGTCTAGTGTAAGAGCCAGTGTTGTAGTGTATGTTGAGTGTAAAGAGCCAGTGTTGTAGTGTGTGTTTAGTGTAAAGAGCCAGTGTTGTAGTGTATGTCGAGTATAAGAGCCAGTGTTGTAGTGTGTGTGTCTAGTGTAAGAGCCAGTGTTGTAGTGTGTGTGTCTCGTGTAAAGAGCCAGTGTTGTAGTGTGTGTCTAGTGTAAAGAGCCAGTGTTGTAGTGTATGTCAGTGTAAAGAGCCAGTGTTGTAGTGTATGTCGAGTATAAAGAGCCAGTGTTGTAGTGTGTGTCTAGTGTAAAGAGCCAGTGTTGTAGTGTATGTCGAGTATAAAGAGCCAGTGTTGTAATGTATGTCTAGTGTAAAGAGCCAGTGTTGTAGTGTGTGTCTAGTGTAAAGAGCCAGTGTTGTAGTGTGTGTGTCTAGTGTTAAGAGCCAGTGTTGTAGTGTGTGTCTAGTGTAAAGAGCCAGTTTTGTAGTGTATGTTTATTGTAAAAAGTCAGTGTTGTAATGTGTGTCTAGTGTAAAGAGCCAGTGTTGTAGTGTATGTCGAGTGTAAAGAGCCAGTGTTGTAGTGTATGTCAAATGTAAAGAGCCAGTGTTGTAGTGTATGTTTAGTGTAAAAAGTCAGTGTTGTAATGTATGTTGAGTATAAAGAGCCAGTGTTGTAGTGTATATCGAGTGTAAAGAGCCAGTGTTGTACTGTATGTCGAGTGTAGTCAGAGGTATGCAGCCGGTGATATATTCCAAATATTCCGGTAAATCCAGTCAGCATTGTGTTGTATTTTCAAGAAAACCGTAACTCAGGAGAAGCTCAGTCATGCAGAAATCTTTTGTTGTTGTACCATTCAGATCTGCAAAGATTCTAACCAAAAGGAATGGTTTAATATTAGTATTTGTGTATCGAAGCATCTGTGTACTTTAATTAGGTGTATCTGAGGACGAAAGTATAATCTCATGTATTCAGTCACTGGTGTCTTGTATAGGTAGTTAGGCAGGTGTACTTATTGATATACTATAAATGGGTGTATCCAATTACTTATATACTGTATACATAAGACCTTTAAGTCCTATTAGATAGATGTCTGGTCTTAAGTCCAACGAATATGAAAGGTTACAAGGTCCGATTCAACCGCACCAAGTTCACGTCAATACATTTTTCCAAAGTCCAGATATCAGAAGTTAGTTTATAAGTACTAAGATATTTAAGAGTTCCCACAAGCGCGTCAGGTCCAAGTCATAGATATGTAAAGGTAAAAGATCCAAGGCCTACAAATCTATTAAGGAATCGTAGGAAAAAACACTCGAATTAAGTCCTCAAATCTAGGTAGGATATTCACAAGTTTAATAGCTCCCAAAGGTCCAAAAATTACATCAAATTCACTCGTCCTATTGTCAGAAGTCCTAAAGACCACCGTGGCCCCACAGTCCATCGGAGAAAAGTCGTGGGCAAGCGGCAGTAAGCCACAAGTCAAGTATGAGGAGACACTTTATGACTGGCCTATTTTATTCATAGCTGGAGGCCATTATAGCTGTCCCCCGAGACCCGGGTCTTTCCTCGGGGGTGTACTCCTACGCTGTATATATATAGAGAGAGAGAGATGGCGAGATACATTCTCAGGAGGACACTAGAAATTGAATAATATATATATATATATATATATATATATATATATATATATATATATATATATATATATATATATATATATATATATATATATATATATATATGCTGATAACCACAAGGAAAGAAGAAAACACGAAGTTCCCAAGCGCTTTCGTGTGATTCACATCTTCACGGGTGAGTACAGTCTAAGGAGAAGTACAAAACAAGGTGTATATATACAGAGGAGGGTGAGATCAGGTCCACAATGGTCAGGTATTAGGTAATGACCATACTAATCTTTAAAAAAAAGCACCGCAGCGGTCGGTAGTCAGGTCAGAGGGTAAGGTGACCCAACCTTCTCACCTGGTTACAAATCTTCTTAATTACAAAATTGTCCAGTTTGTACATGCCATTACTCAAATTCATGTTGACTGCTTCGGTATGTTTAATGAGACTAGATTCTATAATGATCCTACTGTCAATTGAATTACAAGGTAATATTGAGGAGGCATTATCCCAGTCAATGCAATGCTTATTATCCCTCAGATGAACAAACAGAGCATTGGATTCCTGGCCTGTCCTAACACTCCTCTGTATATATACACCTTGTTTTGTACTTCTCCTTAGTCTGTACTCATCCCTGAAGATGTGAATTACACGAAAGCGCTTGGGAACTTGGTGTTTTCTTCTTTCCTTGTGGTTATCAGCATATACCTGGATCACGCGCAACTACAGTGATTTACTTGCACATATATATATATATATGTCTGTGTGTGTAATATATGTGTGTGTGTGTGTGTGTGCGTCAACCATTTATGTATATGCGTAATTGAATATTTGTTTATGTACGGTGTACGTATATTACGAAGGTTTTAAAGGCCGATAGATGGATACAGAAGGATACAGTTATCACACAAACACACATACAAAATTATATGTTTCGTACATACGGCCATACAAACACAAGCAAAACACTTACCTACGCATGTATTATGTATTATTTAGGTTTTACAAAGCGACAAAACGATGCACATTTTTACAGAATTATACATGGAAATTATTATACAATGATACAATGTTCACTGTAAATACTTTGTATGCATATGAATAATGGCTGTGTTGGTATACCAGCATCATAACGCTTATATCTGTGTTTGTTGTTATGGAGGAACATGGCATATTATATCTGGTATTTACGCCGCCTCGAGCTTACGTCCCAAGCAAACATATTACCGGGAGATACGGAAAGAAAACACCGGGAGTATTACAGTGAACAATAAATTACCAGACTTAGATATATAATGCAGGGTAGAGCCTTACCCGTGTGGTGGTAGTATCAGAATCGGAGCTTAAACATTAATAGGAATTAGAAACATGACTAAGAAATGCTCATGATCCCTGTACTGTACTAGCGTGTCCTCACTCTGTCTACAGGTGTCAACAACTAATTATCCTTACTGCGAATTTGATACAGGTGAATCTCTTTGTGGTGGAGACTGGGTATCTTTTATCTCTTGGTGAGAATTTGGGTGGCAGAGAGTGAATGATTTTATTTTTCTCTTTCTGCATGATAGCTACACAAAAACTGCCACTGAATGGATCTGTTTGTCACAGTTAGCTCACTCCTGATGCCTGGAAAATGTCTTATAATATGACTTCGGATACCTGTCCCTCTTGCCTGTCTACAAGTCTCTGTCTACACCTTTATACACGTTAAATGTGTATGAATTAATCTGTACACCTCTAAATATTACTTTGTATGAATTGTTCTACACATCTGTCAGTATTAACTGTTTTGAGTTTTTCCACACCTTTACATCATTTATGCCAAACACCTGGCAACACACCTGTAAATTGGAAGTCCTGTAGCACCACCGTAGAAGAGGACGAGGATAGGGAAGTCCCCAGGTGTAGGTGGCGTGACGTCACAGGGGAGGAGGGCGCGACCCCCCTCTATGGCGGACACTTCCGTCAGAGGACCTGTCAACACACACAAATAACATATATTTAAAGTGAATCTAAATTTACACTGTATTTGTACATTACACACACACACACACACACACATACACACACACACACATACACACACACCTCTCACACGAATGAGGCAAAAAACATGATGCCCTTTCGATATCACTGGACGCACAGGTTAAAAACAACAACAGCAAAAAACACACATATAACTTAACTAGGTGTGGCCAGGTACAGCAGGTAGGAGCATTAGGACAGAATACGTATACAGCCAACATTAAAAAAAAAAACGAAGCTTTATAGCACTGCTTAAACTGTTAGCCTTTGTACGAGTTGCCTCCCTATCCAAGCTATTAAAATTTTACACATGATTGATATCAAGTTTGAATCACGCTAATAATATTAATTGTCCTGAACAAAACAAGAGTTGGCATTATCCGATTACAAAAATTATTGATATAAATGTGTAAAAAAATAAATAATAATAATAATGAACTAGAGGTATAAAAGCAGAGTCCGCGAGGGAAGAGATATACAATAAATGATGTGGGGATTTTGTTGTTGTTTAGGAAATATGTATTGGAAATCTTTTATAATGAATTGTGTTGTGTTTTTATAATGTGGGGTGAGGGGTGGAGGATATGGTAAGGGTGGAGGTGATGGGTGGCGGGTGTGGTGGAGGTTAGGGGTGAAAGGTGGGGGTTGATGGTTAGGGGTAGGGGTAAAAGGTGGGGGTGATGGATAGGGGTAGGGGTAAAAGGTGGGGCTGATGGATAGGGGTAGGGGTGGAGGGTTAGGGTTGGGGTGAGAGGTGACGAATGGGGTGTTATTAATTACAGGGGTCAATAATTTATCAACATTCGTGACTTTTCCCCTGACCTTGGATGCTTCCCTCTGTAATACCGAGAAACAAGGTAAAAAATTACATTGGTTACGTTGTAATTAAGAAAGGTGAGGTTCAGCTATTATTCTTAATTGTACCTAACCTAACCTAACCTAACCTAACCTAACCTAACCTAAGTACATTGTCAATCCATATTCAACTTTTACTACATTCTGTTCCAGTTTCCCAAACAAACCAAAAATATGTGGTAATTATCCCCAAGACACAATTATTCATACAGTACATAACTTCACCACAAGTTTAATGTACAGACGAACAAAAGGCATTACTATACACCACACAAGCATAATATTTCCTGAACATCATCTACCTGTCAGTATTATAAGATATAATATACAATACACAATATAAAATGCATAATAAAATTGGCATAACTTCAACAATTTCCTTTTCCAAATACCGTCGACAGTGCACCATTTTTACAGAAGTATTAAATATTTAGAGGGTATATTTCCATACGGACCGCGCGCTCTCTGACGTCCCACTTTTATGTGATTTAATGTTGCAAGAGACGCGGTGAAAGCTGGGATGATCGCGTCTTTCTTTTTTTAATTTAACAAAGTTGAATGAAGGAATGGTTAGCTTCGTGTAAGCCGATTACTCTCTCTGGCCATCAGTGCTTCTTGACAATTCTGAGTTGATGTATATTATAAATCTGCCCAGCTACGTACAGTCGAGGTCAGACGTTAGCTCTAAGGCCAAAATGAAGCAGCATCGACCCCAAATGAGATGAAACAGTCAGGGTAAGTCAGTTCGGAGAGTCATTCCCGTGACTCAGTTTCACCACGGGGAGCGAACTTTTGTCCCTGACTGTACAACACAGTTACCAAAATACTTGCCATGTGACCTCCTTCTTGCGCTAAGTGTTATAATGTACTTAAACTTTCAAATCACAGTAAAAATATTATATAAATTAGCTGAATTATATATACGCTAACTGGCATAATAATCGTTGACATTATTGTTATGTTGCGTTCGTCTTCTAAATATTCCACAGCACCGCCCTTGTTTACGAGACCAGCACCACCCAGTTCAACTCTTGCCTATTCCCTGGCTGTAGTGTTTGATCTTTATATTCTTGGTGAATCATCTATTAAGGCCTTAATCATGCCCCCAAAGCGTAAAATGAGCGCACAAAGTGTTTCTGTTGCAAAGAGAAAGAAGAAAAAGTGAGGTCATTAAACGTAAAATTATAATTAATAGATAGATTAAAACCATCATCATTGTCATCACTATAATAATAATATTATTAATAAAAATAATTCAGTAGCATTATCCATTTACTGTCTTATTTTAGCTTTTATTTCTTCTTTTTTTTTACATTAATTCTTCATTGTTGTTGTTCCCAAGTCCATTTTTACCAAAGATAGAAGTATTACCATCAAAGACTATAATATTTCTAGGCACATTGCCCTCACAGAGTCCTGCCTGTAACCTGCCACTCGCCATACAAAAAAAATATATATATATAAATAAAACAAATCATCTTATCGAACATTCAAACAACGGGAACATGAAAAGGAAATATTTCTTTTCTCTCAAGGTGCTGGGGGCAGTATAGGTGGCAGCTGTGATGATGCCGCTTTCAGAAGTGACTTGTTACGTATGGGATGAAGAACTTAGTGCTGTTGTTAGCTTAAAGCTCCTTCAACTATGACTTTGACTTGATACAAAAAAAAAGGTGTATGGAGGTGTATCTGACTGGATAGGACAAAGTTACGGAGGTCTAGTGTGTGTGTGTGTGTGCGTGCGTGCGTGTTTACAAGTTAAGGATTGGGATGTTCACCATTACATATATATGATTTTCATACCATATCCTTGAATTACAACAGTTTTACGTCACATCCCTACACATCACATCACCTTTTCTCCACACAGTACCGCCACATCATCACTACATACATACGTAATACTCTAATCCCGAACTACCATACAATATTCAAATTTAGGAAACTTTACCCCTAGCCTATACAAGATTCTCACGGCCCAGAAGTTCCGACCAAACTAATATGTGAGTGTATTACCATATTCTGGTCATTGTGATAACAGCAGCGGTAACAATAGTAAAAACGAAGGTATTATACACAGTGATGGCAGCAATGGTCCTGGTTTTTAAGACTAGTACTGCTAATAATATTAACAATAATAATAATAATAATGATAACAAAATTAATTATTATTATTATTATTATTATTATTATTTTATTATTATTATTATTTTATTATTATTATTATTATTATTATTATTATTATTATTATTATTATTACAAATGTTCTCTCTTCCGCCCCTCACCTGGACTCCTGAAGCTGCAGAATTCGGCCTTGCTGGTACTTTTCAGGCCACTCTAATAATCAAACATTTATTATTCATGCTTCAAAGAGTCGTGATTCGTTCTTCAGGTCGAGCCATGTCTGACGAGTGGTTATGTCTCATGTCTCCACTTGACTCAGGTGGATATGATTCGTCATGGTCGGTGGTTGAACTGTGAATATCGATTCCTTGTGTCATGATTCGCGCTAGTTGATATATGACTTATGATTTGATGTTAATGATTTATTACAGTCGATCCACGATCCATCATTTCATTGAGGTGTGACTAACCATAGTAGTTGACCCCTGATTCGATGAACCTGAGTTAGTTCGATAAGATCAACCCACAATGGTTCACTATAAATGATCCACAATACATAGTTTGTACATCCAGGGTTCGCTATAATCATGACTAAAAGTGCATGATAGAACACACACATTTTACAAACACACACGGGGTAACGTCGCAGACACGTTGACTGAATGCAAGTAAAAGCTTAGTTTCATGCACAGCAGAAAAACAGTGAGGATCAATGTACAATCGAGCCGGCGTACAGTAGTTGCGTGTTCAGTTTTTCTCTGTGTACTAACCTAATGTCTTTTACTTCTAAAGTTTTCGTGCACAGAACAAGAGGGATCAGGAATATATATAAAGGTAAAATGATATATATATTATTTTATTTTTTCGGAGTAAGAACAAAATCTAAAGTATATTTCTCTTACAAATTGTTACGTTCTAGTATATTGTGATGGATAAAACAGCTTTGAGGTTATATGAGAGGAATATGACATCCTGGACAGCATAAAACACAAACCAAACAAACAAAATCAAACAAACAAAAATAAACAAACAAACAAGAGACAAAAGACGGGCAGGTGAGGTGAGAGGAGGTGAAGGTTGGACAGGTAGACCCAGGAAGCTGCAGGGTGGCCAGGTGTGTAGGAGGAAGAGGAGGAGGAGAACCCTAGCTAGTAGGAATCAATAAGTGAGGTGTGGAGGGCAACAGTGAGGAGCCCAGCACCATACTGCCTCCTATAGTGATATCAACAACATGGTTTACGAATCTTCAGGGAAAAATAAGGATTGATATAGTGAAACCTCTATTTAACGGACTATCTAGAGAGGAAAGTCCGATATATAGAGGTTCTGTGAAATGTGAAACCTACATCTAACGGATTATAAATACAAGTTCGTTATATCGGGAGTCCGTTATATGTGAAAACCCCCATATAACGGCTTTCATGGAGAGAAAAGTCCGTTATAGGAAGGTTTTACTATATGGCACTAAACAGGCAGATACCATTTGTTATTTTAAATGGGAAAAATATACATAGATGAAATTCTAATATGAATTTATGTCAGACATTAGTTCCACAGCGATACAGGTAAACGTGATTTATTAAATTCAACCTAAATTAAAAACAAAAAACCTAACCTCACCTAACCAGAAACACTCACACAGACACCCGTTTTATATGCCGTGGGCAGGTGGCGACATAAAAGCAGCTGTAAAAGACGTGGTTCGTAAAAAGATCATCTCCATAAGGCTCTGTTATATAACCTGCCGCCGCCTACCCTACCCTAACCTAACCTGGCACCACTTATACAGTTGTATCAGGCATTATATAACAAAATCTTTAAACTATCCCTGTATGATAGTTTATTTTAGTTATACCTTCTATTTATTTATATTATACTATATTATAGGTATATAAGAGTTATATAGTTTGGATTAATGCATATAATATAATACGGACAGATAGATACCATGTATAGCGAAATCTTTATTT